GTTGTGAAAAAATGAGGCACCCTAGGGAAGGAAGTGGGGGACATTGGGAATGCAACAACCACCACACCTCTCATTTTATGGCTGAGAGACTTGACATCAGAGATGGAAAAGACTACAACTGAGCCCAGCCAATACACTCTCCATTATTTGTAGAACCCTCTAGTCCTGTTTTGTTCAGGTCAACACACCCAATACCAAGTGATGATCAACGTGAGGTCAGACCAACCAGCTTCTCCCTAGTCCTCTGTGGCCTACTTTGGAAGCACTGGGTTCTAACACATCCAGGTTTCTGGGTCAAAGGAAAACCTGGCCCCTAAGGATTCTTGCATCCTTAAGGATCAACTTCAGTTCTTCCTCCCCCTGCTCCTGAGGTCCCCTAAGAACCAAGGAGCTCTTGCTACTTTTAAGAGGAAAAAATGCATTCTGATATGCAAACATTATCGCATATTCATGTACTCAAAATCTAATTTTAGCTGCAAGAAGCTTCATTATAAGATGCTCACATAATTAAGCAGCTTTCTTCCCAGGGCTGGGGAGCCTGTCTATTCTTCTCTCTCATTTACACATCACTGAGATTATCAGAATACGTTTTAGTTTTTTAAAATTATATATTTTGGTTTTTCCAAATTGATCCACAACAGGAGATAAAATCCATGAAAATTACGTTTTAGGCTTAGGTTTGTCACTTCATAGCTTCGCGAGTGGAGTTGGAATTTGGGGACTGTTGGAGCTTTGCTGTTCTGTTCTAATTGGGTCCTGATGCATTTGTCATACGTCTGCCTTCCAGGCAGATTGGCTTTTATGATTTGGATGGTGGGGACAGCATCCCTTCTACTAAGAAGCTGAGCACTACACGTGAGTTAAATGGATTTCTCCAAAAGGACAAGCAGATCCCAGTCTTCACAATGAGGCAGACTTGGGCTGACCTGTGGAGGATCAGCCACCACCACAGGGCCTTTGAACTTTCTTGTTCTCGTGACACTGAAACACAGGTGACCTAGTGGCACTCCTCCTGAAAGGAAAAGAGGTCTTTGGGCACCTGTCAGACATGTCTATACCATCTAACTACCCAGAAAAAGCCTTTAAGGCTGCTATTCCCCTGAGACTCTTGGGGTAGTAGGGGAAGCCCAGGGTGTCACGATTGGCTGAAGACCCTGTCATGTTCCCCTCCATACTTTGCCCTTCCCAGCCAGCCTCCAGGACTTTAGTCTTCTCCTCTGGGGATCCATTGGATGGCAGGAGAGGGCCATGAATCATCTCAGAAGGAGGCCAGCCTCCCTGATCTCCAAAGTCTAAAGCCACATTTGCTGCCTGTTTGAGACTCTGGGATGCAGGTAGTGGCTTCCCTTCAACAGTATGGAAACTCCTGGGGTCCTTAGCTACCCCTTCAGGGTAGACTATGGAGCTGTCCAAAGCTGGTAAACATTGACAGAGACTGTGGACTTCCCAGATTTATGCAGAACTTGGTGATACCTAAGGAGGGACAAGAATGGGCTCTTTAATTTGGTCTTTTCATGGTGTCCCAAAGATCCTGCATCCTCCATTCATGTTTCTCAAGTTTATCATTTTCGTTGATTGAAAGATCCAATTCCTCTACCCTGTCTTCAAACCCTAATATTCTCTCTTCCATATGATCTCTTCTGTCCACAAGGCTTTCCACTGTTTTCATTTTCGGCATCATTTCACTTTGAGTTTTCTCTAGAATTTCTCTTTATTGAATTCTATTTTCATATCCTGAATTGCCCTCATTTTATTAAATCGTGTTTTACTGTGTATTAAACAGTTTATTCCTAGCCTCTTTAAGTTCATTCAGGTGTTCATCTGTGTCTTCTTTGAATTCTTTGAACTCTCTGAGCATGTTCATAGTTGCTCTTTTTTCATTGTTTTGAGGCAGGGTTTCCCTGTAGACCAGGCTGGCCTTGATCTCACAGAGATCTGCCTGCCTCTGCCTTCTGAGTGCTGGGAGCAAAGCATCCACCACCATGCTTGGCTGTAATCACTCCGTGCCTAGCACTTTACCAAGCTGTTCTCACTAGGGTCTTTCACTATGGGATGGGTAATTCCTGGGGGGAACACACTATTTTGTTTCTTTTTGTATTGCTTGTGTTCTAACAATGAGACTTGGGCATCTGAAGTTGGGTTGAAGTGGGATAGCTTGAATGGCTGAATAATGCTGAATCCAACAGGGGTCATTAAACAAAAATCCCAGTGCCAGGCATAGGACTCCTTATGAGTTCTTGGTCAGAGAGGCTCCAGTCTCCCTAACAATATGGCCTCTTGCTTTTCCTCTTGGTTGCCCACCACAACTAGTTGATAAGACCCTATTGTTGAAGATATCATATACCCTGAGTACAGATACAGAGAAATCAAATTGGAACAGAGCTGGAAACTTTTTCTCTGCTGGCCAGCTTTCTTAGACACTGCAAGGTGCAATGCAGGAGGGGAGAAAAGGCATCAATGGTCTTACCCAATTGAGAACCGCATGAACTATGCCAACCTGGCCACTGGTGCAATAGCCACATGACTGTTGTGGGGGCAACCAAGTACTGATTGGTTTTGAGATCCATTCCACGGGGGGGGGGGCGGATCCATGCCTGGTACTGAAAATGTGGTTAAACACTTATAGGTGAGGTCCTTAGGCCCCAGGAGGAACTTATCACTTAGCTAAACTGACAGCATCATACTGCCTTCTAAATATGTTTGTTTATACCCATAGAGAGATGGTACTCACAAACTTAGAGAACCATGTCTCTTGGCAATGAACAGTGATGAATTCAGAGACTTACGGCTGCTCGAGATGCTGGGAAAATGATGGTCAAGTACTCAGTCCTAAACAGGACATTCATATCACCCACTCTAAGGCTCAGGGAACAGCATGGAATAGGGGGCAGAAAGAAAGTAAGATCCAGAAGATAGGAGAGCTATGAAATACTGTCTTCTGGACATGCCACAGCCAATGGAACCAAGATCTTGTAGCAGCAGTGGGTACCTGCAGAAGACCAGGCCTGTCCACAGCCAATCAGAGATCAGGGAAAGCTCCAGGTGGCCCTACCCTCCCTACTGAACTATGGGCTACTGATAGATTCTGGGGGAAGCACAGACATTATTTTCAGTTTTGTTCCCACTGATGAGCTCACCATGCTCCAGTGAACAGTTCCAAACCTGTGGTCACACAGATGAACCTGGTTAAACTCAGTGGTTCTTAAAACAAAACCAAGAACAAAGATGTGGGTGTGGGCAAGGGATTTGTAGAAAGAGGAGCAGGTAACAGGAGAAGAAAGGCAATTAGGGAGGGTGAGGGTTAATCAGAACGTACTACATATGTGTATGTATAAAATTGTGGAAAGAACAAACAATAAAAGATGAAAAAAAATAGGTCCTGAAGAAAGGACATGGGGACCCCAGGAGCAGATATGTTCCACTCCTACCCTGCACTGGGAGCAGCTCTGTGGGACCCATCTCCTCTCTGTGCAGCCCCTACTTCCCAGCCTGCCCATGTCCATCCTCTCTAACCCCTCGCCTTGTTTCTCATCCAGCTCAGGCTGAGGGGTGTCTCTCTGATGGCCATCCCAAGGCAGAACCCTAAACTCTGCCAGAGTCGCCCCACCTGGAGAGGCCTTCTGGGGTTTGGTCCTGTCCTACTTCTTCTTGCCAGGGCCAGTATGTAACCCTCCCACCCCCACCCCTGAACCTTGTTCCCAGGATACATCCACCTCCACACGTGAACCTAAGATGTATCGTGAAGGTGACCCAAGAAGGACACTAGCATCTGCAGTAATCCCGGTCCCAGGCTGGGCTGAGCATTAAGTGGCTATGAGAACAGGATCCCTTTCTATGTTCCACCTCTGTCCTCACCTGTCTCCTCCCACTGCACAGGCACAGAGACCCTGCACTTAGGACAGTGTCCCTCCTTTATAAGCACATAGGAGTTGCCCCAGCCTCTGAGCTTTTGCACATGCTATTCTATGCCTGACTGTCCCCTTCTTAGCAGGGGTCATTCTTACACAAGGCCAACTGAAAGGTGCTGTGAGGCACTCCCCAAAGACCTGTGGTTCAACCTTTTTGAGACCACAGAGCACACAAGCTCCTCTGCAGCTCATTTCTCATGTCTGCTCATCCTCTGCAACTCGTTTCTCATGTCTACTGGGACAGTCCGTTCACCGACCCCATAGTTGGTAATATGGGAAAGAAGGGGGCAAGGGGCACCCGTCACATCCATCTTCTCCCTATTGCCAGCACAGAGGGCTGAGTGGTAGCTGGGGACTATCTTAGTATCTTACTGTCCTTCCTCCTGAGGAAGGAGATGGACCAAGTGGGGACAACGTTGGCTATAAAATCAAGGCAGCATGTGGCAGAGGAAATGACCCCACAGCAGTGACAGGAAGTGTCTGAGTGAACGGAGTGACAGGGGAGGCTCTGCTACCAGGGGGCGGGCAGGGGCTGTGCCAACCTTTCCAGGAGTCACACAAGCACTTTTATTTTTGGCAGGGTCAATCTTGTCACTACATAGCCGAGGATGACCTTGAATTCCTAATCTTCCTGCCTCCACCTCCCAAGTGCTGGGATTTCAACAACCGGTTTGCATAGGACTTCTGGTATGACCCCAGTGTGGGACTCCGCAGAGCAGGAGCCTGTTAATACGTGTGGGCAATGGGTTAGCAGTGGCCCCAAGACACCCTCCCTAGGGCCTCTGATGCCCTCTCTGACCCTTTCCTTGGGTCTCAAGCTCTCCTGGAGGCCCAGCTCTGACACCATCCCCTGGTCTTCACTCTGCTTCTGGGACAGGGGTGTGACTCTCCAGTTTTCCAAGATAGTCAGAGGAAGCAGTAAGGAAGCCTACTCTGAGCTGCCCTGACTTTGTTAGTTGGAAGGAGGTGACAGAGTTGTGAGGTAGCAGTGGCTTGCCCTGAGGTCAGGGTGTATACTCATGGGGGCAGGGTTAGGCTCCAAGCCATCTGCTGCCACAGTGCCACCAGTCCACAGAGAAGAGAGAGGCAGGGTCACAGCATCTGCAGTGCCAAGAAGTCACAGCAACACATTTATGGGATGTCAGATATGCAGCCAGGGTTGCACATCCATCAGCAACAGTCTGTCCACCAACCTCCATCCCGACAGTCCCCACTGTGTCCTTTAGAACACTATTGCCCAGCCTGGCAGTCCAGATCCAAGGATCCTTGGCCCCTTGGACCCAGGAAGCCCAGGGCCTTAAGGAGCCTTGCATGTGTGCGTGTGTGCATGTGTGTGAGCGCGCACGCAAGGCAGCCAACCAGTCTCTGTAAGCATACACCCTGGCACCTGTGTGTATGCATCCACATCTGGCTGTATGTGCCACAGCTGGGAGTGTCTGGCACATCCTGCTCAGGTGGTTTAGGCACATCAAAACAGGTACTGAGAGTGTGGAATGATGTTTAAGTGTGTCTGAGGATGCATGAGTGTCTGTCTGGGTGAGTTTTGTGCCCAGGTCCCTCTGCACACTAGGCAGCACCCACAAGAACCCCCCCCTGCTGACTGTGTACTAGCAGCCATGTGTCCCAGGGGTCCACGGGTCAGTGTGTCAGAGCAGTGTTCAGCTGGGTGGTATGACTGTGGCTTAGTAAAAGCAGGTAGCCAGGCCAGAGCCTATCATCTGGGCACATACTCCCTAGGCAACCCAGCCCAGTTGTGGTCACGTAGGGCTTGGTCCACTATCCGGATGTAGCCGTTGATCAAGTCCTTCATCTCGGGGGTGAAGGGCTCCTGGTCATGAGGGTGCCGCCCGTGCCGTCGGAAGCTGCCCTCTTTGTTATTCTCCACACAGAGTAGTCTCTCCTCGCTCACAGACACGTTGAGGAAGGCCACCATCTCCCGAAGTGTGGGCACCAGGCTGCGCCGCAGCTCCTCGTAGTGTACAACCAGCAGCCGCTTCCCATATTTAAGCCAGTCCAGGACGTGCGAAGACCACCATGAGGCATAGCTGTTCACAAAGTCTGGCCATTCTGTGACAGGGAGATAAGGGCGGAAGTCAGAGGTTGCCTCTCCCTAGACTGCTGGCTCTAGGGGCCTACTCTGGAGAGAGGTGCAGGTAGTTTTTGAGCTCTCACTGGCCAGGACTGACCCACTTGGCTCCCCATGGGAACAAGGCTCTGTGGGGGTCCAGTGTGAACAGAGTTCCTATCAGGCCAGGCTTGGAAGAGTCCTAGGTCTGCTTGGGAGACGGTGACCTTGTGTACCAAGTTAAGATTAATATGGCCTGTCATGCGCCAAGCAAGAACTTACATCTCCCCTGTATGCTGTGAATTCCTTGACTTCTGGGACTATTTCTGGACAAGGGGGTAGAGAGGTATAGAGGGTAGGCTTGCAGGCCCCAGGGCATGATGACAGCAGGATTAAAGGTAGTGGGAAAACTGAGCAATGCATCACTGTCCAAATGACTCATGAATACCTTGTCCTTGCCCCTGGCTACTACGCACATCCCATGTTAAGGAGAGGAGCGCCACCAGGGGCTCTACTGCCCGACATCTGGAACCAATCTGCCTGTATCCCTGGGAACAAGAGTCTTTTGGTGACTTGTATGCCACTGGCCTTTGAGGCCCAGTGAGATGAAGATTGGAGTCCTGTGCCAAATGAATGTGGCATGTGATGGTTGCATGCAGGGCTTTGTGAGTGCGATGGCCAGTCTGAACCCACATCCCTGCTGGGAGACTGGACATGGAATGAAGCCACAGCCACAGATGGGGGTGGCCTCAAGCTTTTGCAGATCTATGTCATGAGATTTCCTTTCTAGAACATTAAGAAATTAATGTTTATTTGGGGGGGGGCAGATTATGAGTGACAAAAATTTGTCCCAACTAAGAGTTTCCAACTGGGTGCAGTAGCACACATCTGCAATTCCAGAACTCAGGAGGCTGAGGCAGGAGGATGATAAGTTTAAGACCAGCCTGTGCTACAGAGAGAATTCTAGACCATTCTTAGCTGAATAATGATATCTTGGTCAAGAAGAAAAGTCTCCATAGTTGGGCTATTGATACACCCTGAGTACTGTGGCTTACTTTCTCTAATCTTCACAATGACCCTGATTGGACGAGCCTGATCTCTAAGGTGAGAAAGCTGAGCTCCGAGGACAGGGTTCAGGCTTACTTGGCGTGAGACAGGGCTTTCAAGAGGAGGGATCTGAGTTGAGCTTGCATGTTGTGGGCTGAGCAGCAGTTGATCTCTTGCCACTGTCGCTGTATGCTTAAAGATGGACAGAGAGGGCTGTGGGGAACTGGCCCAGGTGAAAGGTGACTGAGAAAAGGAATGGCTGAAAGCCAGCCCAGATTACCAGTCAGTTCCAGAAATGCAGGCTCACCTGGCACATGCCCTGCAGCAACTGGCCCCATGGCTGCCCTGGACAGAGCTTTAGCTCTGACTTAATGGACATCACCCATCCCTAAACCTGCATCTCTATCAAATACCATTACACTGAACTAGGGTTTAATATACGAATGGAGGGGAGAAGGGCCAGGTTGAACACACTTCCAGGGCAGGTTCTTCAGCCAGCCTGGCAAACAGCACAACTTTAGGAACTGATGTCCTAAACTGATGTCCATGGAGCGGGCTGGCTCCATGAAGAAACTCCTGTGGGGAACAAGCCAATCCCATCCCAAACCAGGAAATCTGGGTGTTACAGATTGTATGTTTGGTAATACCTCCATCCCAATTTACATGTTGAAGTCTCTAATCTCTGATACAATGGTATTTAGAGATGAGGCTTTGGGAGGTAACCTGAGTTAGATGAGGTCAGGAGGATGGGGTCCTTGAGATGGGATCAGTGTCCATACAAGAAAAGGTTCTCTGTCCTGTGGTCACAGAGTGTAATCTACAAGCCAAGTGAGGACCTCACTAGACACTTTGGCTCTGGGCATCCAGCTTCCAGAACCATGGGGAATAAATAGTTATTGCACCACCCCTGTCTGTGGTGCCTTGCTACAGCAGACCAAGCTGACTAGAATGAGTCCTGGCTCTGCCACCTACCACCCAAGCACACTGGATAGGCCAAGTTGTTCTTCAGATTTATCTGGAAAGTTAAGCATATGGTGATTCCCCTCCAGGATACAGTAGTCAGTGGAGGAAACCTTAGGAGGGGCCTGGTGTGCTGGACCCTGAACACAGATCAGGCACGCACACTGCCTCCAGATCTCTGAATGGCCCATGGCATGTGGGTGTGGCCTCATTTTCTAAAGGAGGACCTTGGTGCTTCAGCAGAGAAGGGGGCAGACGAGGTCATGTGCATCCAGAGCTATTCCAGCTCTGTGTGATCCCCAGAATATAAGCAGGAGGGATAATGGGTTTAGATGGCTTCACCACACACCTGGGGGTAGTCAGAGAAGATTCTTGTCCTGCCATAGGGCTAGCAGCTATATAAAACACAGCACTGTGTGGGCAGAGTGGGCTTGGAGAAGATGGGGAGGAAGAGAGCACAAGCCAGGCCCAGAAGCAGCAAGCCCAGAGCTGTGCGTACTGACCACTGTTCCACCTTTCGGTCTCTTGCCCAGCTGTCCTTTGCTCACCTTTGCTCTTCCAGTTGCGGTCGGGTGCATAGCCCAGGTGTCCGGCACATTTCCTGTTGAATTCGGCCACCAGTGACCTGTAGGGGTTCCGGATCAGCAGGATGGCTGAGTCGAACATCTCGATTTCACGCCTGCCGCTCTCATGGGTCTTCACACAGATGGTACGCCGGCTCCGCCAGTGATCCTTCTCACCCTTGAACCCTGCTCAGGAGCAATGAGAGGACCTCTGTGAAGGAAGGCACCCTCTCTCCCACTTAGGGTGATCTTACTTCCATAACAGCAGAAGAGCTGATGCCATCTGAGGGGGTCTGGGATGATTAATGGATGGGGACAGGAGAGCCTCCACAGGAGTGACTCCTGTCCGAACAAAAGCAAAAACAGGAGGTACCTAACAGTGGGGAAGATGGTGTCTGCATGAGAAATGGAGGCAAGTCACCTCCTGTGGCCCCAGGGGTCAGAAAGGCAGAGGGCCTAATTATACACACAGAAGATACACACAGTTTTATCTTTTTCCAGGGAGAGAATTTCACAGGAACATTGTAAAGAATTTTGTGTATTAACTATAACCCAGATGAAGAGACTGAGGTTCAGACCATGTGTGATTTGCCCGATATTACACAGCACCATTGTGATAATGCCACAGGCCTGTCCATGAGCCCTGTGTGTCCCTGTGAAGCCCCCACCTTCTAGTTACCTCCCCAAAGTGGGGCAGAATCTGCATCATTGGTCAGTATCTGTGAGTAGTGTAGCCCCACCTTGGGACCTTACCCCATGTCCTATCACAGATGCCCAGCCTGGTACATGCATAGAGACAGATTATCTACCCTGGACTCCAGGGTAGGTCTAGCTAAGGTCTCATATTCTATGAATGGAGATTTGTCCCCCTGACCAACCTCTCTGCTATCTGCATCCCTTCCTTGGTACCTTAGTATAGTACTGGGCTCTCAGAATCTGAATGACCATGGCCAAAAGGACCAGGCTCCTCCCATCTGTCCCCAGAGGCACAAGTTTCCACAAGGTCACTGCGGCTCTATGGGTTGGACTTTAAGTCAGTGTTGAATGGCAACCAGACAGGATCTGAACTCACCTGGGAGACAGGTGTTCAGGCACAACTGTGAGTGATTGTTTAGCCCCTGGCCAAGCCCCTGAGGGACTATCTTGAATACATGAATTAAGGCAGGTAGATCCACTCTAAAGGAAGGTGGCACCAATCCCTGGGGCTTGGGTCCCAGGTTGAACAAAAAGGAAGGAGTTAGCTGAGTATTCACTGCTCTGCTCTTCCTGACTACAGATGCAATATGACCAGCTGCTTCAGGTCCTGTTGCCTGGACTTCCCCACTGTGCTGTACTGCACCTCAAACTGTGAGCCCAAATGAACCTTCCTTCCTTAAGTGGCTTTTGTTTTGTCACAGGAACAGGAGGAGTAAGACAGCTGGCAAAAAAATTAGACCCTGGATTTAAGCTTACAGTCTCGTAGGAGGCATGTCTAAGCACAGATCACAGGGGCTTATGAGAACACAGTAGGAGAGACCACAAAGTGGGATGTCCTGGAAGGCTCTCTGGAAAGATGCCACCTGGAGTCCGCAGTCCACAGGTCAACACTGCCCAGGCCACCCAGCTCTGAGAACAGGCTCCATAAGTGTTCATGAGCTTGTCTTGGGTTCTTGGAAACAAAATGAGTTCGGCTAGCCTCCTCAGCAATGGCTCACAATGCATCTGTCTCTACAGTAGCAGCAGACTTCTCTGATGCCTGGAAAATGTGACTCTCTTAAATGTAGAAGTAAGGATTACCCACCAAAGCTTGGCACTGCCATGGGCCAAACATCAGAAGCCTTTGCTTTGACTCATCTTGCCAAACATCCTAGAGATGTGGTGAAAGGAAGATTCAAACTGACTAAATGAACTTGAGGTCTGGTGTCTGAGAACCTGGAGGCCCAGATGTCTCCCACTGCTGACAGCTCAAACCACTGTGCAGGCTGGCATTTCATCGCTGGAGATGCCTTATGGGCTCGTGTGTATACCATCACTCTGTCAGTGTTTGAGGGCCACTGGCTAGATGCAGCCAGTCTTACAAGGCTCAAAGATGCACGGTGTGTCTCTAAAGCATTCTGGAGCCATACAAACCCTGAAGCTGGCTACTTCATCTGGGCCACTCAGCCATGTGGACCTCAGCAGCTGGTAAAGGCCTTCTAGGTCAACAGAGTGGGTCACAGCAGCTTGGGTACAGGGGGCCAGCCAGAGAAAGACCACATGCTTATCTAGCCACTTCCTCTCCTGTCTGCAGGTGCCCTTATCATCTCTAGGAAGATGGCGCCAGGTCATACATATGGACAACTGGCTTGAGAAGTTGCTGCCAACCCAGGCGCCTGCCATTCCTCTGGGCTGTTCCTGACAGTATCACCTTTCCCCAAACCAAACTCTGGTTAAGAAACCCAGAGCAAATGCTGCACCACTTGGCAACCGAGAAATACATTTTGCCAAATTTAGATCCACTTGACTTGTCTGAGGGTCTTCGTTCTTGAAAGGCACGCAGACTTGAGCCATTTAAGTTAATTTACTTGGCATAATGAGGCCTCTTATTTCTACAAGGGAAGATAAACTCTGGAAGATTTTTGGACCTATTTTAAAACTGTATTTTGATGATCTACCCTTTTCCTAAAAAAAAGAAAAAGAGAAGAAAAAAAGAAACACATTAACCTAATGACAGAGGGCTCTAAAAATTAAGGGAAAATTCAAGAAATGTTTATAGGTGAAACCAAGCTCTAAGCATTCCACTTTAAATCTCAGACAAGCTTTGCATCTCACAACATTCCTTGGTGTGCTGTCCAGGGCTGTGCCAGCACCCCTAAGCTTGTCAGAAACATCTATTTCCAGGCTCTACCACAAACAGTCTGACTGTGTATGGCCCAGGAGTCTGTGTTCTTGAAGCTTCTAGGTAATTCTTTGTGCACAATCAAGTTTGGGAAGTAGGCCCTAGTGTTCCAAGTAGGGTGGGTTTGAGGGGAGGGTCTGAGGGCTGCCCTTTCTCCACTAGCTGTGACTTACCCTTGTTGTACAGGGTTCCATCGAAGTAATAGCTCCCTGTGTAGAAGCCAGTGGCATGTTCGATGAGGTGCCTTGCCCATGTGTTCCCAGCTCCTGGGAAGCTGGACAGAGCCACAAACACCTTGGACTTGTTAGGCAGGAACTTCCTGTCTGTGCACCGCGTGTCTGAAAATCCACAAGTTACCAACCACAGGGTCATTCACCTACAGATTGGAGTCCTCTGGACGGGGACTGGTGGTTCAAGGTTTTACTTAATAGACAGGAAAACCAAGCCCAAAAAGGTAAAGAGATTTGCCACCTGCATTTTGGCTGTATAGGTCTGTGGCTGGTGATATGTCTATGGCCTCCCATATCCCAGTGGGTGAAAATCCGGTACTCTGGAGACCCTCACCCTGCTCTGTCTCTATGGCCACAGCCAGACCCTCCTGGTACAGTTCAGAGAACTCCAAGTTCTGCTGAGAACTCCAGGTTCTGCTAGGGCAGGACAGGGCTTTTTGAACCCGGCCATACCACACAACACAGTGAACTGAAGTTAGGCTGATTTCAGGCAAGTAAACTTCCTCTTGTAGTCCCTCCCCAGGGGTATTGGCAGAAGCACAAGATGTCACCAGGGGACAGTTGTCCACCCCCCACCCCCACCCCCCAGGCACTAGATAATAGTGGGAATGTTTTTCCCTATCAGCCAGTCCCTGGGCTCAGCTGGGCCAATGTGTTCACCCCAGGGGGGATGCCAGGGCCTCTTCAGGGCCCCTGAACATGCTCCTTCCTGTACCTCCCAATCTGAATCCCTGCATTGTCTCCAGAGCCTGCCTCCCTCTGTGCATCTTACACTGCCATCCCCAGTGACAACTATTTTTCAAATCTACCCTGGCCTCATCCTTCCTTTCTTCTCCACCCTCCGAGAAGGGACACCAGGGACTTTCATTCTTATCTTCCTACCTTGTGGCTGCAGTTAGGCACACTTAACTTCTAGCAGCCCTGGAAGCTCTCTCTGGCCCCAGACCAATGTTACAGCCCTCGGGGGACACAGAGCTTACCTTGTACAGGTGTCTGGTAGACCTCACAGTAGCTGGGCATCCTCTGAGCCTCAGAGGCCTGATGGCACAGTGTGCTGTCCACTGCATCCCGCAGGGTGAACTGGGGGGTGGGGTAGGCACAGTAGCATTCCTGGCCCTGGAGGATGGCCAGGGGAAACTCCTGGGAAAAAGAAGAGAAGTAGGAGGTGAGGGGGTGCGAGGTGATACCTGAGGCTTAGGCATGGGTTGGACCTCGTGGAGGGGCTGCTGGCTGTATGGAATCAGCAGGGATGACCTCCAGCCTCTACCACCAGGCCATGTCCAAGCCTGGAGGAGACAAGATGTGACACTGGGCCTGCAGGAGCTCAGAGTGGGTGGGTGACAAAACACTCATGAGGATGAATGTCACTGTGGCAGATAGTGGGCAGAGTGCAGAAAGCCAGGCAGAACCTGGAACTGGGTCCAGGATGTGGCTAGGCGTTTGGTAGAAGTGACAGAGCAGGGAAGGGATCTGTGAGTCAACCTGTATAGACAGAGCCAGCTAAGCTGCCACAGGGCAGCTCGGGGTGGGGTGTCTCACCATTAGCCAGCAAATCTTGAACCCTGAGAAGGGACCCAATTCCCTTAGCCAGCCACTCTACCTGACATGCTTAGATGATAGGGAGTTTTTGAAAAAGGACAGTCCTTGCTGGGTGAAGAGAGGAGAGACATCTCATTGTGTGGGCCCAGCCAGCTCTCAGGTGGGCTCTTGTTCTCCTCTGGGGCCACCGCACCAGAGTAGAGAGCTAGGTGCTGGCACCCTACGGATCTTGATGTAAATTCTTGCTCATTTGCTGCACAACCCTGGGCAAGATGCTCAGCTTCTCTGAATCTCACCATTGATAAAGGACAATAAAGGCTGATGGCTAGATGAGATGGCCCCAAATGGTTCAGCATGGTGCCTGGCACCCAGGAGACATTTCACAGAGGAATGCATCATCCTTGGCTTCCCTACCACTTTGAACATCAACAGTAGCTCATTCAAAAAAGCATCCACTCACTTCCTCATATGCATCTGTGAGCACCTACTATGTGCCAGGCAGTAAGTAGGACACAACCCCTCCCCATCCCATAAGGAGAGCTGCAGCCCTCCTGGAGCTCAGAGCCTATGTGATGGAGGGAGATAGTGAGCGGAAAACAGTTTGCTGTGAAGGGAGCCACTGCACAAACCTTTTTATTTTTTGCCCACAGCAAGAAATCTCATAAATAAATAAAGAAAATCAATAGCATTTTCCATGCATGGCTTGGTAAAGCTGAGGAACTCAGCATTCACGTTAGATAAGAGACAGTGTCATAGCCAGGGGAGGTAAAGTGGAGCTCAGCCATCAGAGCTGGGAGGACCCTCAGAGGCCCCTGGAACATGTCCCATGTCTCCTACCTCTCTTGTCCTGCTTCAAACTGTGATGCCACTGTGCTTGCTGGGCACAATGGGGTGACAGGCCCCACATCATTTCGAAGTAGACTCCATGTGTGGCTTCCATACTGCTCCACAAAAAAGCCAGACTGGTGGCCTGACCCTTACCACAACACAGATAGCTTTTCTGGGAGCAAGAGCAGTATGGCCCCTGTAGTTCTGGCTGTCCCCTCTCACCATGTCCACATCCTGCCTTGTCCCACAGTAGCATCTTCATTCTAGTGCCACCTCCCAGGTCCCTATATTGTCATTGGAGAGTACATGGTGGCCTGGTGGTGTCTCCCTCCCTCCTACCCACACAGGCTGTGATGGCAGATTGTGCCCCAACCCCCAAACTCATAAGTTCAAGTCCTAACCCCAATGTCTGGGAATGTGATCATACTTGGAAGCAAGGTCTTTAGGGCCAATTAAAATAAAGTCATTAGGTTAAGGTGGCCTGACTTCGGTGTGACTGTCCTCAGAAGAGGTGGTCAGGACACAAGTAACACATAAACCTAGAGATAAGCATCTGAGGACACTGGGGGATGATGCAGACCAAGGAGAGTCCTGAGGAGAAACCAAGCCTGCTGGCATCTGCACTTTGGACTTCTATCCCAGTAACTATGTGAAGGTGGTCACCAGTTGTTTAAGCTGCCCATCCCATGCTGCTGTTGGAGCAGCCTGGGCTGCTGGCTAAGACAATGGCTCTCCTGCTATTCCCTGATCACAGGAGTCAGCCTCTCACCTCAGGGCCTTTGCACCTGTCATGTTCAGCTGCCTGGAATTTTCTCCCCCGCCCATATCTACCTTTTCTCACTTTCTTCAAGTTATCATCTCAGTGAGACCCCCCCCACACACTACTCCAAGCTGCAGTGTCCTTTCGCCGTTGTTGACACACCCTGCTCCTTTGTTGTGAGTGAATTCTGTTGAATAACTCCCTGATGAAATGCTCAGCTCTGTCACGAGGCCGGCATTTCCATCCCCACAGACTCCTCTGTCCTGTCTTCAACATCCCTCCCCCCAACCTAAGCAACCACTATCCTGATTTCGATCACCACAGATTAACTGCATCTATTCTAGAATGCTGTATAAATAGAAGCATCCGGTGTGTATTTTTGTGAGCCTGGCTTCTCTCATTTAAAAAACCATTTGTTAAATCCATCCATGTCATTTTACATGTCAGTAGTTCATTCCTCTTCATTGCCACATAGCATTCCACGTGTGGATGGACCATGTGTTGACACTTTTTGATGGGCATCTGGACTCTTTCCAGTTTTTAGTCATTGTGAATAAAGCTGCTTTAAATACTCTAAATGCAATTTTAAGGATGAATGTTTTCACATCTCATGGGTAAACACCTCCAACTTTTGCTCATCTTTCTCTGTCGCATTTTACAGATTCATGGTATATTATACATTGTATTTATTTTCCTGGTTTATTGTCTGCCCCATCCATGAGGATTTAAGCAGGGAAGGGGTCTCTGCATGTCCTGTGTGTGCTGTTGTACCCTCAGTGCCTAAAACAGTATCCAGTGTGTGGCAGATGCTCAATAAGTGATGGATGAACAAATGAATGAATGAATGAATGAATGAACGAATGAATGAGCATCCACCACCATCAAAGCTGTTGGCATCAAACAATGCTATGTTCCTGGTCACATCAGGGGGGGGGCACAAGGGAGCCTGGGCCCTGTGGTGCTGGGGAGGCTGGCCTCCCTGAGTCCTGGATTCTGCTCAGGCCCTCGGGCTCCTCTCCCTCCCCAGCAGCCTGGGCAGCACTGCTGCTGATGCTCCCAGTATCACAGCCCGGGGCTGTCGATGGGCCACCCTCACCAGTGACCCAAACCTTTCTGCTTCCCTGAGTGGATTAAACTGTCAAGTTTCTGGGTGTTTGCAGAGCGACGGGAGAGCTGCAGACAGTAATGCGGTTTTATTTACAACATAACTGCCCCAGCAACATCACTGGATTTTGAAAACACAGAACAATTTTCAGCCCCTTGGGGATTTCGAGGACACGATTTCCATAAAAATTAAATATTGATGAATCTTATCTCTCTGCCAACTTCCCAGCTCCCCAACCCCCTACCCCCACTCTAAGTTTCAATGAGAAAAAAAGAGAAAAAGAAGAGGGGGAAACAGGTGGAAAGCCAGCAGAAAGAGCAAGCGGAATGTCAGAGCAGTGGGAGGCGGTCAGAATAAGGTAGGTTAGGGGGAGCTGGCCAGGCCTGCATCCAGAAGCAGGGCAGAAGTACAGCTTGGTGGTCTTTATCCTGTAGCGGATCTGAGTGGAAGTGGGCTGGGCCTGACCTAGGAGGGGGTATTTGGCCAGGGTTTGAGGCAGAGTAGAACTCTGTGGTTTGCAGGGAGTCATGAGCATATAGGTGTGGCCTGTGGACAAGGGGCCATGGGACCATTTCATCACACATGGAGCTGGGGTCCAAGCTGGCCCTGGTGGATTCATCCTCTCCATCCTATCCTTTCTTGAGCAGCATTCTCAGCATCTCCAGTATTATATAGAATTATAGAGATTTCAGAGACCACAGAAGGAGAAACTGAGGCTGGGGGCAGGCAGTCAACAGCTCCAGTTCCCTAGCCTGTCAAGACAGTGAGCATAGAAGTCAGCCTACTGGATTCTAAGCCTGAGGCTCTACATCATCCCAGGATATGGTGGGCTTCCAAGGAAACCTGCACACCAGGCCCTTTCCTGCAGACACAGTCCCCAACATTCGAGATACAAAAAGGTACAGGTCAGACATTCAGGCAAATGAACGGATGAAAGAAAACTCATCCAGGGATGCAGTAACTGAGAATGATGCTGTGGGGTTTGGAGAGGCAGTTACAGGTGGAAACAGCTCAAGGCTTGCTGGCAGGTCCCCTTTGGGTTCCAGATCCCATGTGAAGATGAGCTTTGGCATCTCCAAGCCTTGGTTTCATTGTCCATAATGCTCAAGAGTCTGGGGGCTGCAGGTGTGGGTTTGCAGTCGGAGAGAATGGCTTGACGTCTTCATTCATGGGGGAGGATGTGGGGGTTGAAATGATCTCCAGGTACCTTTCAGAGAGTAGATGCTCAGCAACTGAGATTGTTGGAGTGTGGTTAAGCTCAATGAATGGGGCAAGAGGCTTCATCCACAAGGCTTCCAGTACCTTCTCTGGGGAAAGCTCTGACTCAATAGGCTGTTTCCACACAGTCAGACTCAAGGTGCTCACACTGAATATCTGTCCTATGGCCAAGAGAAGAGGCCAAGCATGATGGCTTGGGGCAAAGGTCAGAGTGTCTCCAGGGGACACAGGAGTATCACTAGGGGTGGCATGGCTTTGGGAAAACCCAAGGCCACAGGTCCTAGACCTGCCTGACCAACTCCCAGAGAATACCTTCCCATGTAAGTCAAATACCATCAGACCAAAGAGCTGATGAAGGCCCTCCCAATCACTGGAAGTCGGACCCAGGGCTTGGTGTCCACCCACACAGGAAAGAACCAACTCCTCCTTAGGTGACTCGAACACTCAGCAAAGGAAGGAAAGGAGAGTAAATAACGGGGATCCCAATAATTGCCATCTGGAAAATCACTACTCAAGAGACATTGGTAAACATAAATCACAAGGTCACTGAATCCCTGTCACAGGCTGGTAAGGCATTCTCACCCCACAGCTCCATTTGGCAAAAAAGGATGGCGGGGAGAGGGTGTGTGTGTGTGTGTGACAGGATCTAGTCAGTATCACAAATGAGAAAGTAGTAGGTAGGAACTTGAA